CAGTGCTTGGAGAGGGTGATGGTGCCTACATTGAAGCCAACGGGCCCGGCAAGGTTGACATTGAGAGTGTAGGTGACAAGCCCGCCGAATTTTTGTTGTTTGACATGGGCCCAGACGGCGCGTAAATGTATATACCCTTGGCTATTTCTATGTAGTCTGCACTATTTGCATGTAGATAGAAAAGAAATGTACTTCTACAGTCAATGTTCTTCCCTCCTGATCTTTCTGTTATGTCATGAATCAATCCAGCATTCTTTAGTCTTTGCCTACTATTTCTTCAAGTTCCGGTAGTAGGCTACGCAGTCGCTGGATGGCACAAGACCTGACGACAACATTACCTAAAGCACAAGATCCAAGCATTTCTGGTATTTATCTGCCTGTGCATTATAGAAATCGGCATGTTGATTTAGTTGAGGAAATTTGCACAACATTCCCAGTGTCTGCCACACCTCTAGACGAGCCTTTTCTTTGCTTGCACTGACACCCCCTTCCCCTCCCGTAGTCTTCACCTCCAAGTATAGCTTCCACGCCGCTAAACAAGCCAAGGAAAACCGCATCTGAGCTATCATGCACTCATCTCCACACTCTTCCGTTCTCGCAAGCGCTTCTTCGCCATATGTCTGTGCTTGATCGGCATAGCTTTTCCGCTGCGACGCTCTATGCGCAGTGTGGCTCATGGCAAGCAAGGTCTCCATGAGCTTTTGGCAAACGCGAGCGATCTTTTTGGAGTTGGAAGGAGTGGCCAGATCACTACGTTGGTAACTAAGGGCCTTGGCGAAGTGATCGTGAGCGCTGATGAGATTGATTAGTGTGCGACTTGACAGAGGGATGTTTAGCTGAGCTCTTCCCAGCTCCATAAGTTCTTCTAATGGACATGTTAATATCCGGCCTCTGACTAGTGTTAGTTTCCGTACTTATCTCGGAAGGTGTTGCTTGGACCACAGTCCCCGGCCATACTGTCTCGGCCGGGTCACGCATTTCCTCAATCAGCGCCTCTGTAGACACCATCGTCGACTGGACTGTAATTGCAAATCTGTCAGCCATTCTATCATCGCGTATCTATATCTTGTTCATTCCCGTTGCGTACTACGTACATGACTTAGATCGTAAATTTTCGACACAAATCCGAACCCTGGTCTTGGTCTCATGCTCCACAAGATATGCCGTGGTGGCGGATTGCAACTGCCCTTGCTCTTCATATTCCTGCAATCTGACATGCTCGAGTCCATGGGTTACATTGAAGCGAAAACACTTCCCCCTTTTCACATGGTCGCGCCACCGCCCTAGGAACTCCTGGTTCATACTTTCGGTTTGTGTGGCCTGTTGTTTCAGTATCTTAAGTAGATGGGCCACTCGTTTGTCAGCACCTTTCCCCACGCCCGGGTGTCCTGTGCCAATGGAGACGAAACATTTTACAAGAGGCTGTAAGTTGCCGGTTTCTTCGCACCAGAGATCTCTTGCTTCTGCCTCGACATCTGCGGTAGGATTGTTAGCGCCAATAGCACCGTCGACAAAAAAACTAGCTCCGATCTTGATTTCAGAGAAGTACGTCTGCGCAGCAGAGGTAGCAAGGGCGGCTTCTATAATCGTAGGCTGGAAATCGCAGCCTGATGATGCGGTGCGGTAATTGCGGAGCCGAGCAATAGTGTTTGTTGCTTGAAGGTTGGTGCAGACGAAGCTCGATTGCACCGTCAGTACAATACCCTTCTCAAGATTTGGTGTCATGGTTCGCTCAACTCACACCTTGCATCGGGGCTCACTTCCGTTGTCGAACTTCTCATCCAAAGGTACTCCGCAACCACGGACCACTTTCGAGATTGCTTCTTTCAGCACTGTTGAGCTGAACTGCGGTTTCACTTTACCACGAAAATCAATTCTGGATCGATTGATTCTCTTTTCAAATACTTCTTTCATCAAAGTCACGTAGGCTGTAATGCATTCCTCTACCGACATCTGCAGCCGACCAAGCATGATCGCGATTAGACTGCAAAGATAGTTAGCACAATAAGGACCGATCATGTCCAAATGACATAAGATGATAGAATCGGCCTTACCCTCCAGTACTTGTCCCGCCAATCAAGTCAAAAATATCGCATGGCTTCTTCGGTTGTAACCCAGCTCTACTGCGTATGTAGTTTAAGCGATTCATGATGTTTTGCAAAATGAAGAGTGTCGAAAGGCCGCGGACACCGCCGCCGTCGAGTGCGAGAAGACAGTACCCTGCGCTTTCATGTGTTTGGTCACTGGCCGAATGTGTTGTTGCAGCTGGTGAGGTATGAACCTCCTCTGAGGAAGTAGTGCTAGCAGACTCTTTCATCTCAGCGTGAACATCATCCGGCGTGGTTTCAACCATATCAGTAGAGTCGCACTCCTAGGTGCTCAAAAGGGCTCAGAGTGGGAGCCTACGAGCCGAATGGCAATGCCATTGTGGCTCTTCTACATCGGCCAGGCATCACGCTGAACAAAAATCCAGAGTTCAGCCTTTCCGCAGTACGTTCAGCTCTCGCTTGTACGAACAGAATACGGAAGTGGTATAAGATGTGATCAACAAGGCTGACGAATCAACTAACATTGGAAGCGAACTTCGGTCCAACATCGGTGAGATCCAAACTTGAGGCGTCTCGTTGATAGCTCTCATGCAGAACCCGTGGAAAGGCAATGGAGAGATTGAACGAAACCGACAGGGCTGCTAGTGAGGAAAAAGGAACATTATCAAGTAAACTGTCATCAATTATGAAAGATCTATGATTCAACGATACAATTGTCTCCATATCGAATATCAACAGTGCGCTAAGATCTTGCAAGATTGTCAAACCCCAGAAACAAGAGTGGGTGCGGGGCGACCTGCTGCTGAGGCAGAATCATGAGATCGAACGTCGGAAACCCATTGCGCTATGCTCCACTTGCTCCCAGACTTTTGTGCTATCGTTATTCTTCCTTTACTTCTTCGCCTGAGCAACGTTATAATCACTGTGATGATAGCTCCGACTCCGAGGGCGCTTCCAATGGCAATGCCGGCTATGGTTCCTGGCGGTGGCGGTGGATCCGTTCCACCAGGGGTTTGAGAAGGGCTTGGAGAGGGTTGGGGTGTGAGGGACGACCGAGGACCTGTGGTTGTAGTAGATCTGGCTAATGTTGAAGTCGGAGATGTAGTAGGTTCGGATGACACAAGCCTAGCAGTTGATTCAGGAGTGCTGTCCACACTTGTCGCTGTGGCCGGTACGCTCGCAGGCAGCGCCGTATATCCCCGATCCGTACAGTATCGCGAATAGATGCTGACCGCAACTGACATATCGACTGAAACATCTCCAACAGAACATCGACTTGAAACGCAATTTGCCAGATACTCTTGTGCCCTCGGCTGCAAATCAGGTTTGCAGTAGCAGTCGTTTCTCGCTTGCCAACTTTTTGTTGCGCACTTGGTTTGAGCGCATCCGATCTGGACACCAAGTACATCCTCGGGACAGACAGCGTATCCAGTTATAAAGCAACCTTTAGCACATGACTTCTGCCCCGCGTAGTCAGGCTCGCTGTTGATATTCTGTGTTACCGTACCGACTTGCGCATAGGTTGTCGCAAACAGAAAATTCAGAAGGAGGTAGAGACAATACATTGAGTCAAGGATCAGAAATCGTAATCTCAAAGTATGAATAGGTCAAAGAAACTGATCGATGTTTACGCTCCGGAGAAAGAGTAACTTTATTAAGACCTGCACAGAAAGCTGCAACTTGACCACCCTCAGCTCCATCAACGATGAGTTGAGTGGTCGGGACAAGAAAGCGAGCTGAACGAAGTCTCGCCGGATCGATTGCAAGTTTCCTGCGTATCGCTCGCTTGTTGGTCCCCAGATAAGGTGTTCACTTGTACGCAGCCAAGGCACCTCTCTTGGCAGCTATCAAGTGGCTTCACCGCTAAGACCAGTGGCAGCTCGACACGAACCATCCAAAGGAAAATACCAAGGATTCAGCTGAACAGGTGGGGCAAATGTGATCTTGTGCTACGCAAAATGGGTACGATTCATGAAAAGGCTGGATAGGCCTTTGGAGGTTGATTTAGTAGAGAGTACTTAGCAATCTGAGTGTGAAATGCTAAACTGTTTAAGCTTTGCTCCCAAGAGTCGAAGTTCGTCAATCTTTCACTCCACGTGTGGTCATCAGGGTAGGCAGGCCGACTTCAACGAGATTAGAGATTTCTTCATGATGTGATTCAGCACCTTGTATACCTTCAAGCACTTCGCCAGTGGTTTGACCCAGGACCCCAGCTACGCATTGTCTACATCTTCACTGGATTGACCAGGCAGTAATAGTGGTGTAGTCCCTGCAGCTTTGCCCGATTTCCAAGCCTCCTTCACCAGGCATTCAGCTCACGAGAACTGCTAGAAAGCAGCGACATTGTGGTGATATGATGATTCAGTATTAAATTCCAAATCTGAAATTTATCACCTTGTTGTGATAAAAGTGTCTGAGATTTAGTACTGCAACACGGAGATTGGATGATTGTATTATTTGCTTGAAGGCTTCCAGGCAATAAGGACTTTGTGAGGAGCAACAAATCCCGCAACAGGCCCGGGAAGCTGACGAACATGATCGATCTGCCTGGAACAAGTGTTCTACGGAAAACGTGATGATGGAAACCCACGCCACAGGTATGACGTAGGGGAAAGAAGCGCGATAATTGCGACGCGCCTGGTCCGTAGCTGATTCCACTAGGGAACTGTACATGTAAAATAGACGTGGCGTAGCCATAGCGCGTGGTGAATTTTGACAATACTCTCCTAAGCTCCATGTGCAGACCATTTGAACTCGCGGAAGTGAGTGCGTCGCCAAATCTTAATGGTTGTGGTACCAGAAAATGAAGTTCGACGCCAAGGCTTGGACTCGTCATTGCATTTGTTAATTGGGAAACGACCTGAGTACGTACCAACTATTGAAATACAGATAGCTCAAATTTATGACAGATATATTTTTATCAGTTACGATTTTCTCCAATAACAATAAAATGGCCGGTTGGCGCAATGGTAGCGCGCAGCCCTCCTAAGAGGACCAGGCTGAGGCTGTGGGTTCGAGTCCCACATCGGTCGTTTTTTTGGCTTTTTGCGCCTTTTTTGCACCTTTTTTCATCTTTTTGCTTCTTTTTGCTTTTTTTGCACATGTGCTGGTACGGTCTTTTTTGCTCCCCTGTGGAGCGAGTTGGCAAGGAAGAAAAGGCATAAGTTCATCAGTGATAGTATGTTTCCGAAAGTACTTCATGGGCGCTTCTGGCCTCTTCTGCCTCCGCATATGATACTTTACAGTGCCTCAATGTCATGACTACTCACACTTGTGCTGTTCCTTGCTCGCCCGATAGCCGCCTCAGCCATAAAGTCTACTCAAGCCTTCCCCTTCCCCTTACCGGTATATGCGCGCGAAGGGGGCGAGAAACCTTCAAAGTCCGTCGACTGCTCTTCAAGCGGCTCCATAGGGTCGCTCAAACCTTCAAAGTCCGTCACATCTGTCACTGGCTGACTGCTTCCACTATCGTCGAAATCCTCCCAAAGCGTTTCCTTATGGGCGCTCCTAGAACATATGCATTAGCGAGGTTGGCAAAAGTGGTTTCGACAACATACTTAACGTGCTTCATGAATTTCTTAACACCCTTTACCATGGCCGTGCAGGTGGGACAGGTAATCATGCTCGTGTTGTCCATGCCATCCAACTTCAACGCGCGTCTTAATTGCGCTTCACGGGTGTGTGTGGAACCCCTCATGTGAGTGTTCAACCTAAAAAGATTGAATCTCCTCTCCTTTGCACTCTTGTCCATGGTCGGGTCGATCTTACATCGCGGACAAAGTAAGTTAGACTGTGCAACGACTAAGTCGGACTGCGATCTCTATCAGTACATTAATGTGGTTTGCAATAGACAACAATGAGGCTGACCAATTTGATCCACATCATGAGAAACTCGTAACGAGTTTCCTCAGTCTCTGCCGTGGGCTTGCCACCGCCAAGTTGCACATGCACCTCATCCTCCAAACTACACATCACGGTTAGCTTGAAAGGACTTTTGGGGTTGTAACCACTCGATGACTTACCCTTCCCAGCACTCGGGCTCTTCGCGAGAATTGATGTCATGCCCATCTTGGAGAGCCTCCTCGTTCACGCCATCGTTGTTGTCGTCGTCAAATGAAGCCGTATCTGCGCCCGCGTCTACGAAAAGACGCTCTTCTTCCTCTGATTGACCGATTCCAGTGACCTTGACACCCTTGACTTGCTGCGGCTCGAACGTGCCACCCGGAGCGAGCTTCCTCGCAGATTGCGCCATGCTCTCGGCTATAACCGCTCTATGCTCTTTGCGCATCTCTGCGTGAATCTCCTTACGAAGCCGAAGGCGTATGGCTCGATGAAGCTGCTTCCGGTTCACCATATGGGCATTGACTTTTTTCACAAGCTCGTCCAGTCCATAAGTGACTGAGAGAGACTGGTACCTCGCGCCAGCCCTCGCAGCGAACCCAGAAGGAATTTTCTCTGTGCTGGGAATGACACCAGCTGTCTGTAGTTCCTCTAGCTTGTTCCCCATCTCCTCATATAGGTCCTTTAGCTTCAACTCGTGCGCAATGTAGTCGTCTTGTGTTGAAAGCTGTTCTTTGACTTTCTCGTCGAGCACTTCTCTAAGTGTCAGGTCCTCGTCACCTTGCTTGGGCTGCAAACGTGTGATGTTGACCTGAGAAAAGTACTTTCGTACTTCCTCACGGCTCATGCTCTCGGCCCCACCAAGGCGGTATTGCTGCATATCGATGTCACCAAAACCAACGTTGTCGTAAAAGAACAAGCTATTGGAGTTGAGTTTGTGGTGGGCGAAGTCTTTTGCGGATTCCGTGGTGTGTTGGCGACGAACCTCGATGATTGCGCTGCGGCGGAAAGAATAGTACGTGTTACGCTCGAAGAGACCAATACCTGTGCATAGCTGTTGCAGCTTCGGATTCAAGGCGTGGATGTTCATAGGCTTCGTAGGGTCCAGGTGACCTGCCTGACTAGCCGCCACGAACACCTGCATTAAGGTCAGTCTTGATTAAGTATGAAAAGTGCTTTCCAATTGCAACTTACAGCTTGTTTGTCAACATTTGGTTCTTTCTTGATGAAGACATTGTGAGGTGTCTGACTTAAGATATCCTCCAGCGTCTGCACAAACAGTCCGCGCTCATATGCAATACCGAGGAGGATGAGAGGCATATCAAACTCCAGTCGTTCTGCAATAGAGGGAAGGAACACAAACGTTCGGCGCCCATCAGCGGCACTGCTCCCTTCTTTGTTGGGGTTCCGGAACCCCTTATTGTATCTGAGAGTGATGCGAACAGCTATGCCATTCTTCATATTGACGAAGTCGACATCTGACCAGCGAAGAGTTTGGCTGGTCTCGCGAACCCTACCGGGGAGGCCTGGAAATATTGTCAGTGGTGTCTTCAAAGATCTCACTCGGGACTTACCCAAGGAGGCTCCTTGCTGGTAGCCTGCGGCAACCGTGAATGAGCCCGGCCGGGCACCAGTAAGCCAAGTGAGAAGCATGGCCGCCCAGTGCTGCTTGAGGTTGGCGACCCCATACCTCTGCTCGCAGATGTGTCGAAAGATAAGCACGAGCTCACCGTCGCTCAGGTTATTCTTCGCCCAAGAGCGGGTGCTGAGTGACTCCTGAACGGCAAGCAGCTGGATGTGGCGGTTGACTTCTTCATGCCATTGCTGCCAGATCGAATTGAAGTCTTTCACGAGGACGACTGCCCACCAGTATATGGCATACTTGTAGCCTGTAGGAGGTACGTCAGTGTCGGGGGAAGGCCTTTTGGGCGGAATGACTTGTCTGTACATACCCCATAGAGTCTGTGCTTTGATCTTCTTCTCCAATTTGCCAACAGATATGTTTGTGATGCCCTCAAGGAATTGTTTCGTATAGTCAAGAAACGTGTCTCTGCTCCAGACATCGTTCATCTCCGTTAAGCCGTAACAAGACTCAACAAATTCCTGGAATTGCGCGCGAGCTTGCTCCCGTCTCTTGCCTGCAGCTGTGTCAACAAAACTACTTTCTAAGGAGCACAGCAATACTTACGAGTCGAAGGTGCTGAGCCATCGAAGTACTTGGAGACCTCAGCATTTTGGCGGATAGTTTCCATCTTCTGGACATTTGCAGCTAAGGCTTGAAAACCTTTACGGACGCGCGATGAGACCGGTACTGCCGGTGGTGGTTGCGACATGCTGGCCAATTGTTGCAGTGTTGATGTAGGAGAAGCAGGGAGATGGGCAGCCGGTGCAAAGCTTTCAGTTTACAATGTGGGCAAAAATTTCAGAGTATGGCTTCGCTTAGCGTTACGTGTGAGGAAAGTGAAAGCAGTCAGATGGTGAACGTAGCAAAGGTCACGTTTGACGCCCCACTTTTTCTAGTCAATAGCCAGCGCCTCTCACTTCAACAGCCTGTGATACTGCACAGATTTCCGTTGACCCAGTGTCTCCCCTCCACATACTCCCTATCCAACACCCCTTGGCTGCCACTAATTGTCTATACCAGATAGAAAGCAGTTCTGAGTAGCACAATGGACAGCACTTTGCACCCTCATGCTTTTGAAGGTTAAGAAAGATGCCATGAAGGTTGAACTGGGTATGTACAAGCCTAGAAGGAGAACCTGAGATCATTACACTAATACCTACCAGTAAAAACGCACTTCGTGTAAGAGGTAATAGGCCTGAGTTAATTGTTAGATACAAGACATGGTGGCAGAACCGCTCTAGCGCGTTGGATGAAGGTACATTCGCAGGCCTATCCGTGGCTGTTGCTGGCTCATCAACGGAAGAGCTTTCCACAAATCTTGTCGACGACCCCTCGGCCGCTCCAGAGCCCTTTCACGGAGATGAGTTCATACACTATTAGAGCTGAAACCCCAAGCGTTCTCGCAAGCACAGTGCCATCTCTCGAACGATTGCGTAGATTCTGGATGATGACGAGTAGACGGACAATTTCAAGGAGGCATTTCCAAAAGTCCTTTTTGGTAAGCGGCATTTGAAGAAGGTGGCTTTGCTGGTACACCACTCTAGGCTTTGTGATTACCCAATTAGTCTCGCAGGCCGAGCTTACGTTCGGACTTGATCGATTGAGACACAAGGTTTGCAGAATATCTATCTGTGTGCTCCAGATTGTATAAAGCTATTTCATTGATTCCACTCAGTTTGCGCATGACAGGGTACATTTACGCCATATATGGGTTCGAGTCCCACATCGGTCGCTTTTTTTTTGGCCTTTTTGCACCTTTTTTGTACCTTTTTTTCTTCTTTTTGCTTCTTTTTGCGTTTTTTTTTGCACATGTGCTGGTACCGGTATTTTTTGCTCACGTGTGGGGCGAGTTGTCAATAAAGAAAAGGCATAAGTTCATCTGTGATAATATGTCTCCAAAGCCTGTTCCATCTTTTGCCCAGCTGAATACCTTCGTGTCATTCTACTACGCTTGACTCTAATCTCATACTCATATGTATGCGCCAGGCAGACTGCGCCCAAGCCTGGATGCTGTCTCTCTGCTCCCAGCACTCAGGTTTTTATGACGGAAAAGAAGCCTTAGGGGTAACGATGTCTGATTCCCTTCCACCTCGATTCTACCATCATGGTCAGCCCTTCCATCAGCGCCAAGGTCCATGACCGTACTGTCGCTTCCTTGTTGCTCGTCTTCGCCCACCGACTGCTCTTGATCGGACATGCGAAGAGTTTCGTAGGGAACCACGATTCTGCTGGTTTCTATTTTCTGCCAGTCGATGAGGGAAAGAACAGCATCGCGCAGTGGCCAAATTGTCTTGCATGCTCCTGCAATGCTGACAACCCAATCTTCTGCCCACACAAGCATCTTATCTTCTAGAGTCGCTATTTCGGGAAGCCTTAACATTTCGATGATGTGTGGTGCCGAAATGAGAAGTTTGCAATCCTTTAGGCTCGTCAGATCCACGACGGCAATCATGATGTGTACTTCGGGATCCCAGGATTGGAGAGATTTGGCATATGCGCATGCTTCAAGAAAGTCCGTTTCTAGGACGTAAAGTGGCATCTTTTCCAAGAGTAAACCTCGCGTATAAC